TCCCGAGTGTTGAGTAACCCAAGGTATTAATGAACTCGTCGTTAGCGGGAAGGCTCAAAGTAAAGTTTGTTAGCGGGACGCGCTGCAGTTTCGCGACAGTTTTGGGCCAAACTAAAAGTTGTTTTTACATTACTGGTGCTGTGAGTATGTCAGGGATACACAGACGGAAAACTCAATTATAATGGTTTGATGGATTTTGTCAAATCAAAAGTCTGCGCCTTCCATGATCGAATCACTTTTTCAACTGCAGTTTGAAAATGACGGGGTATAACGACCATTATTATGTCTAGTCCATTTTTGTAACAGGTATAACTGACTAAAATGAGCGAGGAGTTGACATTTTTTGACAGATTTAAGCAAATTACTGAAAATAATTACAATATAATTATAAAAAATAAAGAATGGTTGCTGTGAACGCACGCTAGATAATACTTACAATTCACCAAGCAGACAACCCCTATGAAATAGTAATCCCAAACCACGCGCCCGTCACTCAAGTGGCGCCGACAAGTCTAGATTGGGCAAAGACCAAAGTGTTTTGCAAAGTTGCAAGTCATTTTGCTAACTGACTGTCCGAATAATTCTCAGAACGGCTGTAAGAACTGAAGATATCATTAGAAAATCAACAATAGGTATAGTATCAAAGCAATCGTATTTGCTATTTTTTACAAGAAGTCGAAAATATCACTTTTTACCAAAAATGGCAAAAATATTCATAAAAATTAGAGAATTAAAGATATCATTACAAAATGAACAAATCTGAGAGAGGTCCACATGTAGTACCTATATATGTAATATCAAAGCAATCTGACTTGCCTTTTTTACAAGTCGAAAATATCACTTTTTACCAAAAATATTCATCCAAAATAGAGAATTTGAGATTTTGACATGAAATGAACAAATCTGAGAAAGAACCATCCAAGGTACTTGCATATCAAATTTGAAAACATTCTGACTTGCGGTTTCAAAGAAGAAGTTGACATTGTAAAGTTGACGACGACGGACAATCAGTAATATGAACAGCTCCGCTGTGTCGAGCTAAAAAACAGTGTTAACAAATTCATGTGCTTATAAGTTCTTCCTGATTTAATTAGCAACCAATCTACCTATTTATAGAACTGGCAGGAAAAATCCACCCCATTATTTTTTTATAATGACATATTTTAAGTATATTTCCATTTTTTGGGCTAAAACAACACAATTCATTTAACTGGTTGATCACTAATAGTGAATAAAAAAAACACTTGTGTGGATGACAAAGAATATTCATCATATGAAACATGGCATGAATAACTGAAACTTGCATTACAGCAGCTGTACTAACAAAATAATGCAAGACTCAATAATTTTTGGTTCAAATATATTTTACCCATGGTTGCTATTTTAACACAATGACTACCATATTGTCAAAGTAGGCCAATTACAGAATTTTTCAATGAAATAATTACCAACAACAAATTTACAAATGTTTTCATTCTGTGCCAATGTCCAACAAGCATAAAATATATAGGCTCAATTAGTCATTCGTTACAGCTGAATAAGTTCAAATTGAAAATATGTGAATATGTCAAATAATTCATAGAGCTTGTTTGTTCTTTGACAAAGGCCTAAATTAATCAGAACAGTTAAAAATCATTGAATATTATTTCTTTTACAACATTGATATTTTAATGTATGTAAATTATTCTTAAAAACCCATTCACTAATATAAAATATTCATGAAAATTTGGTGTCTGTTTGTTTTATTTGATAACTGCAGGCTCTGAAGCCATATTGAACACAAATTGTTTTCTATAATATATGTTCTTTATCCTATTTTATTAGCAACATATAGTAAAACAAGGTAACTACCCTGTAGTTT